TACCATTTTAAAACTAGTTCATTTTTATAAACAGGATTTTAGTAAGAGAATGAAACATGATTGAACAAAGTGATAAGTGTGTAATAAACGATGTAATAGAAATTCTCTGGACAATAGATTTATTCAAATAAAGTTTCTACACAATGTACATCTTTCACAATAGAGTCTTCATCCTTTGGGGGCTTTGAATAATGAATACAAAACTGTTTGAGAGAAACACAGTGTCGGTCTCTTGGCATTTATAGAAGTTACGAAACTGCAAGCATAATTCCTCACTTCATTGATAGATAATATCACAAGTAGGCTACGGATTTTTAAGCATTTATAAAAATGTTCATATGGATGCACATATTCTATAAAGCTATGTATACCAATTAATTAATATTACACGTTATTTCATTTAGAGAAGAATCTCTGTAATCAAATTGAATTCCATAAAGTACGATTTTGCACAAAATTCGTGATTTAATCATGAGTGTGGCAACCAAGACCCGCATGTTTATGGAATCGACAAGCATCGTGCAACACAACGCGTGCAACCTGTTAAATATTCCAAAACTTGCAAGGGTTGTTTCACTAGAGACATGATGGATCGCTAAAAGGTGGATAGTTTAAGCCGGCTGTTGAAGCTTCCTCCAATCATCTCGGCCGACCGATTTCTACTTGAAACACGAGTGTGCACTTTGCCCACGGGTTGCCTCCACAGTTTTTATGTTTACCATCTTAACATCACAAAACACGATTCGCAAGATGGAGTCTTCAATCGATGTCCGAACGTCGAATTCGATTATATCCTAAAATCACTCATTCATGAATATAAGCGTACTTTATCAAAAACTGATATCAACATTTTTGTATACGAATTGAATTAAAATGAAGAAAGAATGATTTCTTATCGTACGAATATTTTGCAATAGGAAGTATGAGAATTCCTGACAGCCTCGTTCAGTATATTGAATTTCTAGCGCGATGTTCTGTCTGTCGATCAACGGTACCTTAAATTAGAATATCTGATATTGTGTACACATTAGTATTCCAGTTTCGATTTACTGCCTACACTATTTGTTCAATTCCACAATGATTCTCGCGCTCATGATCCGTGTTTAAAATTCCTCCTACACAGAGACGAGCAAAGGTCCTTGTTAAGTAAATTGACCGAACAATTGCATTAGATACTCATATTGGATTAAACCTTAAAAACTACAAAGTTTAATATTCTGAATGGTTTTAATTCGACTTATCAGCTTAATTTTAAATACCATCCATCCTTTCATCCCACAGTTAGTATTCTAAATGTCAAGCTTATACAATTTAATTAATTACGCAAAAGGATAAAATGATCACATTAATAATAAGTTAGAGTATTTCATATATACCAATTAATTAATATTACACGTTATTTCATTTAGAGAAGAATCTCTGTAATCAAATTGAATTCCATAAAGTACGATTTTGCACAAAATTCGTGATTTAATCATGAGTGTGGCAACCAAGACCCGCATGTTTATGGAATCGACAAGCATCGTGCAACACAACGCGTGCAACCTGTTAAATATTCCAAAACTTGCAAGGGTTGTTTCACTAGAGACATGATGGATCGCTAAAAGGTGGATAGTTTAAGCCGGCTGTTGAAGCTTCCTCCAATCATCTCGGCCGACCGATTTCTACTTGAAACACGAGTGTGCACTTTGCCCACGGGTTGCCTCCACAGTTTTTATGTTTACCATCTTAACATCACAAAACACGATTCGCAAGATGGAGTCTTCAATCGATGTCCGAACGTCGAATTCGATTATATCCTAAAATCACTCATTCATGAATATAAGCGTACTTTATCAAAAACTGATATCAACATTTTTGTATACGAATTGAATTAAAATGAAGAAAGAATGATTTCTTATCGTACGAATATTTTGCAATAGGAAGTATGAGAATTCCTGACAGCCTCGTTCAGTATATTGAATTTCTAGCGCGATGTTCTGTCTGTCGATCAACGGTACCTTAAATTAGAATATCTGATATTGTGTACACATTAGTATTCCAGTTTCGATTTACTGCCTACACTATTTGTTCAATTCCACAATGATTCTCGCGCTCATGATCCGTGTTTAAAATTCCTCCTACACAGAGACGAGCAAAGGTCCTTGTTAAGTAAATTGACCGAACAATTGCATTAGATACTCATATTGGATTAAACCTTAAAAACTACAAAGTTTAATATTCTGAATGGTTTTAATTCGACTTATCAGCTTAATTTTAAATACCATCCATCCTTTCATCCCACAGTTAGTATTCTAAATGTCAAGCTTATACAATTTAATTAATTACGCAAAAGGATAAAATGATCACATTAATAATAAGTTAGAGTATTTCATAGTTCAGGTATTCTAATTATATACTAATTATTGTTAATTTGAAATTATCGTTGTGACGTTTTAGGCGGTCTCGGATCTGCTACTAGGTGTTTTCTGCATGCCGTTTACGCTTCTCGGACAGATGCTAAAGAATTTCGTCTTCGGCCTGATGATGTGTAAACTCATATCCTATTTTCAAGGTACGTATCATGTGAGAGACTCTAGGGACTCTGGAACCACTACGCCACTACGCATTCATACATAGAAAACGTGGCACGTGCCTTCCATGCGTCGCCGCTAATCGAAGCTATGCATTTTCTATGTGTGCGTGCAAAATAGATCCGGAATCCCTTGAGTCATTTGTAAATTTGGCATCTCGATCTATCTACACTAAATTTTCAATGAATTCAGCGTCTCGCGCAATCTACCTATTTATTATTTAATTGTCTTAACAATTTATCTAAATACGTCAATTTAATTATGCTATTTATTTATCGTTAATCTTTTTTGGGAACATATTTGCCTTAAACATCTCTCGCACTGAATTGAACAGGCGAAAGTTTATCGGATTTTCATTTCAGGTCAATGGCCAAACTAATTAACGATGCTGATCCAATTTGCTTGCTAACATTATTTCAATAAACTTACGTAATTATGCCGGCAATTATATTGTAAATCGTGTTCACAGCCCATGTAGGTATTTAGTTTGCTTAACAAAGATTTATACCGTAGCGCTTGGAAGCTATTTGCCGGCCGATTACTAGCAACCCTATAATTTGCATAATTTAGTGTGATGAAATTCATGTTACGGGTTCTGGTCACCATTTTAAACCGAAAAAAGAAATGTTCCATCTTTGCTAAATACCATAGAATACAATAGTTCACATAGGTCCATGGAACACGGCAGAAGGAAATGAGATCTGAAAGGGAAGAAAATTACAGAAATAATATGCATTATCCTTAAAACGTGTTATTGCAGAGCGTTTTATAACGATTCAAGCGCAGTGATTATCCGAGTGCAAACTGGTAGTAACATTAAGCGGTACATGTAAGAATAATTATAATATTACACGAGTTACGTAGATGAACATTTCCTCGTCGTTTTCATAATTTGTCGAGTGCATTCGCGTCGATTAAAATCTGCCCGTTTTATTATGCAAAAGCGTATATTATTCAAAATGCGTTCGAACCGCCATGAATAAAATTATGAGATTATAAATTCATGATATGTAAACTCATGATTTAAGAACAATTTATTGCATAAGATGCATTTCATTCTATTTGTTATTGTAATTAAAAAGAATGTCATTTAACTTCTCCATCGTGTTTGTTCCTGAATTTTTGCGAAGATTTCGTGACTAAAGGACGTTACCATAGCGTCTCGTGCCGAATGGCACTGGAAAAGGAATAATAAAATGCTGATAGTTTACGGTAGGTATAAAAAAACTTTATTTCCACGGTGATATTAAGACGGAAAGAGTTTTTTCTTTCTCGAGTGAAAGTTAAACGCTATCAGTGCCTCGCGGGCTTCGGAGAGAATGAGAATTTTATATCTCACGAAACAAGAGAAAAGGTAGGTTGCAATGGAAAACAGAAATTGTAATACGATTTTTGATTACTTTATACTATTCCTTTGAGAAATAAGCTTCGCAACAGTTTGAGTTCCATTGCTTTAATTAAACGTTTCATATTTATTCTTGCTCTTTCACAACTGTTCTTTTGACAAAATAATATAATGCAAAGTCCATTGTTTCGTTTTTTATTTGTTACCCGTTTGATGCAAATGATAAATAAAAGAGAATAAAAAATGTTCTCGATTTATGTAATTAATAGAATTTCGTAGAGATTAGAGTAATCATGAAAATTAGCAGCTATTTTACTTGTTAGGTGTTTAAGGCGAATATGTTGAATGAAACTAAGGTACGCCTCTTGAACAGGAAGTTTCCTAGTTGTTGAAGTTCTGTTTACGAGACTTCGTCAAAGGTAACTTTATTGCTGCTTAAAGAACTTTGTGCCTACCTAACAAGTACTACTGGCTGTGTCGTTGACTTTCATTCTGGCTAATCCATTTACGTTAATTAAAAACGCCCTTTAATTATAAGAAACGATTACATAGAGAAACAAATCCAATTTAAGTAAACGATTCTTCTCGATTACACGTCTTTACTTTATTACGATAATCTCGAGGAGAAAATCTTAAAGAAGAAATCCTTTAAATGTCAAATGAAGATTGAATACTACTTATCAGAAAGAAGACTTGTCAAAGGTTTTTTCTTAAAAGGTAACAGAGTAGATATTTGAAATTAGACTCAAGCAAAGACGTAAGTAAAAATTGATGTTCCGCAAAGAACAAGTTCTGTAGATTCTTTGCGTAAGAGAAGATTGCAGCTTCCTAACAGCGTCAAAGATCCAAGTTCTTACCTTTATAATCAAGCAATCAAAAGGGAAGAGACGTGCACTAGGTTTTTAAAACAGAAATAGCTGCTCTATTTTCAATTTCAATAATAGCGAAAAAGTATTAATATCTATATTAAAAAAGTTTTATTCCAAGATCATTATTCATAAAGTGTACCCCTTCATAATCACCCGAAAAGCAAGAGACGTTGAGCTCTCAAAAGAATTTTGTACGTTAGAAGCATCCTAAGAAATCAATTCCTTAAAATATCAGAAAGAACCCTCAGAGGGGTAGAATTACCCAGGGTGCGTTATCTTTTCCTTTTGCTACTTAACGAGCATCAGGAGATTAATTTCTATTGTGGGGAAAGCAGGTATGGAGAAGATTTGTATGAACCGCTGTCTGGGAAAGAATGGCTCGTTCGCGAGGTGAAACCAGAGCTGGAGTTTCCCGTCGCCGCAGCCTCGGTGCAAGATCACGGGTTCAGTTAAGGTCGCTACGAGCTTCCGTGATTGAAACCGTGCACTTGGATTATTTACGAGCGTCGATAAAAAAAAATCATTTTTAACTGCGTGATCCGGATTATCTGGATTTTATACAATTTATTTACTTGAATTCGATAGTTATGCGGGATTTCTTTTTCTACCGCATTGCAGTATTTCTGGTTTTTACGCGATTCGCAGGCTGTCAAAGGATTTCATCGGAAATTTTGTTTCGTTTAATGACAAAATCGCAAAACATGCTGACGTGATTAATTAACACTTTATTAAAATGCACGCTGTTTCAGAACGCATCCGGAGTTGTGAAAACACTGCCTACCGCGGGACTTGGAATTCTATTTTGCTTTTTTGTTAGTTCCGAATGGTCGAACCTTTCAAAGTAATTTAAACAGCGTTGCTTAAAAGCGATTGCAATTTGCGAGTTTCATCTCGTGATGAATAAATGTTATACGATGCCTCGGTCCAAGCATTGTTTTCGTCCTTTTCAATATACACACGAACAGAGATACAATTATCACAAGCTTGGTAAAAAAACATCTGAAATATACACACGAATATATACTAACAATTTTATCAAGATCGATGGTTTATTAATAATGAACTCTGATTAATACGAATACAATGTAATACATTCGTATGCTTTATTATTACTGATATGTTATAGCTTTCCTGTTTGAATTCATTCTAATTAAACGTGACATATAAAATTGAATGTATCTAATTTATATCATCGATTAAATTAATTATTGATTTTATTAAAAGCGTACTGCGCCTTGATTTAGCTATATGAAGTAGAGGAAGTATGCTCACGTATTACGTTCTTCAATCCAATATAAAAAAAATTAAATCGTTTTGAACTGTGTCCGAATATAAATAGGAGTCACAGTACGTGTATATTGACGAGAATCTATTTTTTTCTTGTATTATTTTAACTGAAAGGAAAAATCGTGGAGTGGAATACGAATGATTATATCACTTTACAGAAATACGTATGTACACATTGATGGTTCATACTGACATGCAGTACGTATGTACATTCAAAACGCAAAAAATTCAAAAACAGTACATGTATTACACATATTTCAAGAGGGAAGCTTTTCTGTAACATCACCATTAAAAAAGGATTTAATTTGTAGTCAAGCATTACGTTCGATAATTACATTGTAGTACAGCTACGTTTGAGTGCAAAACATCCACTGGAAGCGAAATTTTACTATTATATACGATTAATGTCGTGGTTCGATTTCACTTTGCTTCAAATCTAAATAAATTCCACTTGTATTTTGAATATACATATATGCACGTATGTACCTATTGCTAATTAATATATAGCCCTATATATATAGCTATATATTCCTGAATGAATCCCTTTTGAATTCGAGATGACATTCACCGCGACAGTTTTGAATTATTATTCATGTATACACGATGTCCGGTTTGTATATAAATTCATATAAAATGGTCATTTATCACAGACATTTCAACTATCACATTAACTCAGTCTTGCTCGAAATCCTTTCAGTTCTCATCACAACTACTGCGTTATTCTGCTGCAGTGCCTCTTGTTGACACAAGTCGCAAACCGGATCGTCGCGTCTTAATCAAACTGAAAACGGTGTAATTAACAGAGACGTAGTTTAGTAAGTTACATTTGAACAGAAAGCTCGAATTACCTATCGTCATTCCTTTGAAGTTTCAAGCTTGTTATCATGAGATTGAGACGACTTAGTTAAAAAATAATATGAAAAATAAAACAGATATAATTTGAATCGCAACATTCAGGAGTAATTTTTTACAGTTCTTTATTTCGCTACATACCTTTTGAATGAAATCATAACTATTTTATTAACTAAAATTAATTAAACCAGAGGTAAGGAGGTAATTAACTAAACCAGAGGTGCAAAGAATTCTGTTTATTTTCGTACGTTTCTCCACGAAAGGGGAGAAACGGTTGTTACGATTCAGCTGGATATTGAGGCAATCTTGCCTCGCGACCGATTCCTTCAACACAATGCGAAAAATCTCATCACTATTTCTGGATTATAAGGCGGAACAAACGGCGCTTTATATAATGCTCGGAATAAAGGGGATAAATTTAGAGATTCGCCACAGGCATCGACGGGAAGCAATTTCATGGATGATTTCTCGATCGAACATGGCACAGAATTATCGAAGATTCAGTGTACAACTGTAGGGATTATTTAGCTTACGGGAATTAACCATATCCTAGATTAGAAATTGTTCGACGTTTACCATCGACTGATTGCGATTGCAAACGTTGTTAACCGACCAGAGAGAGACTCTTCAGTCCACGAGTTGCAGTTAAGAGGAACCAATTAATTGTATTGAAGTCATGTGATGTAGATAGCTTTATACTAATATATTATTATATTTATTGTACGAATTTTGCATTCATGTACGCGAAAAACTAAACAAATGTAAATAATAAAGTCGTTGAATCATTTCGTATCTATGAAAAAGTAGTCTTTCAATCTTCCCACTTTTTCTCGTTGCCCATGATAACACATTTAGCTATTCAGAGCAATCAAACTCCTTTTCAATTTTCATGGTCGAACATCGATTGGTAGCTCTGTTTTTCAATAAGAAATATTTATATGGAAATATCGTAGATGCATTTGTGTGTACTTATGAATTTTCATGAATATTGGGTAAAAATATTTTGATCAGAATTTGTCTACCGTTCAATATCAAGTGGAATCGACTTTTATTTTTATCCTTTTCAGCCGTGTCCGTGTCAGTAGGGGTTTGGACACTAGTCGCGATTTCCTTGGAACGTTATTTTGCAATCTGTCGGCCGTTGAAGTCCAGAAGATGGCAAACCCGATTTCACGCTTACAAAATGATCGTCCTGGTATGGACAGCCAGTCTTACCTGGAACGCACCGATCCTCGTGGTATCGCGGCTCAAAAGTTTACGTGGAGGTAAATAATTTGTTCCATCATATTTACAATTACAATTTTTTAAAACATGTGTAAAATTGTGAAGGGAAGCAATTTAGTATACATGAAGCATTTGGATAGTTGTATATTTTGTTACACACATGCTCAATTGCTAATACAAATCTTTCAGTAGTTTCCAATACTACTAGTACTATAAAAACATGGACAGAAAATTTTTTAACAGACATCAGTTTAAAGGGTAGAAGAAAGTAGGCCGCTGAATAGAACGTATATCGCCCAGTGTCAATATCTTCATTCGTTCACGAGATATAGAGCTCTTGCACAGCATACGCGGTAGACAGAACGACAATTCAAGTTCATCGGCAGACCTTCCGTATTCAGAAATGTTATACTGTACCTTTTGTCTAACAGTGCTAAAAAAAAACTTGATTATGCACTTGTCAGTGAGAAACGAGAAAGTTCAAAACGAATCGATCAGTTCGCAAAGAGATATGTTCGAGAGTGTCATTAAAATTTTAATAACGGTGAAATTTCAAGGATTCTTACAAATATTATTTCAATGATGAAATTAACTGTTGTCCTCAATCACCCGTTTTGTGACTAACATTTCCCCTGAAGTATTTCTGAAATTCTAAAGCCTATTCATTTGTGAACTATTACACATATGCATGTATAGAGGAATATTCGTACTGTGCCATCCATAACCGATTGTTGCATTAAAGCAGAAATGGAACTGGTCTGTATAAATTGATGGAATAAACGTTATTGTGTGGTATCGATGAAATTTTATTGCAATTGACAGTCAATACAATTAATATTTTAATACGTTCGAGACATACTATTGTATACTGACACGATTTATTATGCTTATAAAGATAATTGATTAAAATTGTATAATAAATGATTGTGGGTGTAGGTGATAAATTACTGCAATAAAAAAAAAAACAGGCACCTTCCTCTATTCTCTCTTGAAAATAATTCTCTTTTATGCTGGCAATAAATTATCTCGCAGAAATATTTACTTTCCTACATATTATACTGTGTATAGAAACGTGTGAACAATTCCCATTGGTTCTTATACTTCGAAATTTTTAAAATGATACAGGACACTCGGGAACTGATTATATAACATCAATGTCTTGACGTAATTTCACAATTACATCACGATTCAGCGATCTTGAAAGTACTTTTACAAGCATCACCCTTAATAATAATTAATGGAGCTCTTTTAGGTAGACTTTCATTCTCCGCGTGGCCGTCTTTATTCCCTCCATTTTCATCCTCTCATGATTTTTCTTAGAAATCTCGAATTACAGTTGACTGCGCTTTAGCTTGCCGCCTCCGGCTCATCCCCGTTGATTTATCTCGTAAAAATTTATAGAAAGTTTGGCGTTCGCTGTTCCAGGTAGGCGTAAATGTCGCGAGGAGTGGCCTAACGTCGAGACCGAGCGGGCGTACAATCTGTTTCTAGACGGGACCCTTCTTTTAGTTCCTTTAATCGTGATGAGTCTGGCGTACTCTTTGATCGCAGCGAAACTTTGGCGTGGTCTGCGCCAGGAGATACGTCAAACGTCGTCCTGTCAACAACGTCGTGAGTGGATATTTCTTTTATACACTGAAACTGTTATTCATCCTCAATGCTCAACACTATCGTACAAATTAGTCCAAATTGATTTTTCACCAGAAGATTTTGATTTGGTTTTATTAAAGCGAAAGGAAAATGAAAATTTTTATTTTACGCTTTTGACTCATTTCATTTAATCTGATATTTATCCTGTCGCTCACGTTTAATTGAAAATTAATTACCTTCAAAGAAACATCAAACCAAGAGAAACTTTCAATAGACTGTGCAAACTCAATTTTCTCGGATACAATGAGTCGAATAGAAAATCGGAACCACACTCGATTTTTATTTTCGCGTATCGAAAATTGAGCGCTTCTGCAGTAGTTCGATTAAATAGATTTTCGTGTATAAAGAGGATAAAATCAAACACTAATCTGACATTGAACGGATCTATTGTTCACTAAATTACTGACAAACAATTTTTCAAGTCAGAAATAAATTTCCATGTTTTGTCATAATAAATTCTACGTATCTTAATGGAAATACAGCATCGAAGAAAACGGATTGCACAAGAAACATTAAATGTTACGAGAGCTTGTTTTTGTGCATGTCCAGAACAAATAACGTGCTCTGTTTTGCAGTAGAGAAAATGGAATCGAGCGGAAGGATGCGAAATTCAACGTACGACAAAGATGGTAATCGTGGCGCAGACACCACTGTCGTCCTGAATTCACGTGGCGCTTCCTCGAGATTGAGACGAGGATTTTCAGCCTCCAGTCACGGTTACATCCAAGGAGCTTCGCTAGGACCGCCGTCAAGGGTAAGAAATTTGCGATCGAATGACGTCGGGGCTAAAAAGTGGGTCGTCAGATTTTAACTGACGCCAAACCGGATTGACGAGGGGCCGCGGAAGTTTATTCTGAATCTTTTAAAACCAGACAGCAAGGAATTATTAATAGCGTATGATGGAAACAACATAAGAAATAATGAAATTGAAGTAATGTGATTTTTAAATTTCCGTTCTCCTATGAGTGTTGACGTTGTTTCCATAAACTGGTAATATTTTTCAAAAACAACTATAATGATGAAAGTCATACCTACCATTCCCGAGATCCGACCAAAATTGGTTTAGTGCTGTCCAGTTTAATAAAGTCTGTAAGTACACATCGTGCAATATTTACAAACGTATATTTTAAGCTACATTTATTGAATAAAACGCAAATTCGCAGCGTTTCAACGCTGAATATTTCTACAGGTCTTTAAGCACTAAAATATCCCAGTAATTCCGAAATAAAATGCAATTATAAATATTTAGAAAGAAAATATTGTGACGTTTATAAAATTGATTTTAATTATGTTTTAAATATACGGTATTTGGAACTTGTAGTATTTGCCTGGATGGAACGCTATTCGTTCGTTTTAATCCAATTTCGAAGAGTGGATATCTTAAAAGACTTTATATGGAAATTACCTTAGTCGTTTAACATCTTCTTCTGATTAATCTACTTAGTTCTTGTAGTATATTTACATAATCAGATCTATTTTCAGTTTGCCTCGATTTATTGTTAGATCCACGATTGGAAAATTTTTTCCACCACTATTGGTAAACGTACTATCTATTCTAAGAATAAATCAGATTATATTTGTCGTAGAAAGACGTTCTTACGTGACTGATTATATCGAATGCGAAAGGTTCCACTACATAAAATTCAATAATTTTCTTGCTGCTCAATTCCCAGTTGACAGTCCGCCAATTGCATTTTGATATCTTTTCCCGAGAAATTCATACTTCGTCGATTCCCTACTACTCACTCAATTCCACTTGCGTAATTATTACCATAAGCGGAGATTACCCGTTCTCAAGTTTCGACGTATTCGAGGACGTTTCCATTCCACTTATATAAAAGAGCATTAACTCTGCCCGTGAGACTAAATATACAGGTAGAAACGCAATTTATAATTCTCAAACGACTTGCTAACTTAGAATCAAATTTGGCCAGCAAGTTGAAATCGAGAATAACTTTACAGCGTTCAGAGACTTATGATCATTAAAGAGCAACTGTCATTACGGAACATATTTATTTATCATGTTCCCACATTTGTCACTATTTTCTATTTCATTTCTACAAAATAATAAAGTGTCTAAAATCAAGACATACATGTGAAATCGGAGATCAATATCGCAGACTATTTCAAGTCACAGGTTATTGTAACAGAACATTAATGACATAATCTATGATCTCTTTAAAAAGACGCGCATGCAACGGCCGAAGGTCTCCAGGGTGCTAGCTAGGAAATGTGAGAGATCGGATTTTTCTCACGAAACGAGGGTTCCGGCCCGCGGCAATGATGGTAACTGCCTGTCAAGAGACGCGAAGGATTCTACCAATGAGGAACAACAAAATACCAGCTACTCATTCGACAGGCAACACGCTATACGTAGCAACTACATGACCAAGAGCATCGAAGCCAAGAAGAAGGTGCGTGAACCACTAGAAAGTTGAAAATATTGTAAATTCGTACGTAATGAAATAATAAAAGATCTATCAATATCTTATTCGTCATTTTTATTATCAACGTTTACAGACATTTAAATGTATGCATTCTTATCTTCTTCTTGCTATAAAGTAACGTGGCATTAATATCTTTATAACGAGACATGAATTACAAAGAACGAGAATTTTGTCAACTGTAAAATCCATGAACGAGTGAGAAAAAGGTGGATTATGACAAGAATATTTAAAGATCGTTCCATCTAAAATATAACAATCGTTTGGTGTGCAATTTCGAATACTTTGCAATTAACAATTGTAACATTACTTTGAAAACCTTTTTCAGAGAAGGGATTTGAAAATTGCCCGACCGATGGGTCAGAACTTATTTGTGCACCTAACAAATTCGTAGTAACACAATTTATTCTTTCTGTTTCAAAAATTGCCGACGTTCGGATTTCAGGTGATCAGAATGTTATTTGTGATCGTGCTGGAGTTTTTCGTGTGCTGGGCGCCTTTGCATGTGATCAATACCTGGTATCTTTTTACTCCGGAACTGGTCTATTCCATGGTCGGTAGCACCGGTATCAGTCTCGTGCAGTTACTCGCCTACATTTCCAGCTGCTGTAATCCTATCACGTACTGTTTCATGAACAGAAAATTTCGACAGGCGTTCCTCAGTCTTTTCGACTGCCATCGTTGCTGGAGGTGAGTGATCAAACGCAGTTCTCGTTTTCAAACATCACACGTTTTAGCCACACACCTGTTCTGTCGAATATTATTTTTACGCTGGAATTAATTAAAACCACATACGTCACGTTTTGCGTTCTTTTTTTCATTTTTCTTTCTAGTAAGCCCGTAAATAATTTTTCATCCTCCATTATATTCTCCTTTGTTGCGGCAACTCGATATTCTTGTTTAAACATCCTCTTATGTACGCCACAAAGCTATACGTAATGAAAACAGTCGACAGTTGTTTTTTACTTTTGTGCTAAAGGTACTCTGCGTATCGGAATTGTTAAGTAACGAACTAGTTGAATTCTATTCGCCATTTGCTAATCGTGGCATAAATGTAAAAATCGGCCGTAATTACTCAACTTCGCTGGCGAACGCTGCAGTTACAAAATGTTATTAGCGCGCTTCCTGAATTTGAAAGGAAAAGTTTGAAACCTGTTTAAATTAACGCGCTCCGAGGAAAATTTGCGGATTGTTTTATCTAACGTTATTGTGTGAAACATTTTCCTGGGTATCGATGATCAAAAGTTTGAAATGTACAATTTCACTACCGTGGCGCATAGTTCTCGGACTGGATTAAAATCGATGTGTGTACGGACGCGCGGATTTGTTCAGGGAAAAACTATTGTGCTCGAATTTTAGAGTAGGATGTCGAAACAGCGACATCGCAATGGCAACGATCAGGAATGCCACTCAAGTTGGGAACAACAGTGAACTAAGCGGAAACGAGTCAACGGTGTACCTAGCAAAATCTTCTCTTCTCACCAGATCCGGTACGGCGCCTTGTCTAATTTTTCGCTAGACTATGTGAACGCATTTTCAAACTCTGCAGACTTGCCTAGTTTCATTTATCTGCAGATCAATACATCAGCCAAAAAAGCAATTTCAGTGTAAATTTTAATAAAACGACGTCATTCATAAATGCATGTACCGCGCAATAAATTGCAGCACATTTTATTATTTTGTCTTCTATTTTTAAAAGCACAATAGAAATATTTAGATCAAACGGACTACAAGTGATACGAACATTCCGTCACAAATTGTCAATTGCATTCAAAAAGGAAGGAACATAATGTTTCGAAATGGAAGTCGAACGAGGTTCGTTTGGTCTAAACGCACCTTGTCTTATCTGATTCTGTAGCCTAAGGTTTTATACACTATTTTTAATTTTATTTATCTCAATGTACGTATATTCAATCCAAATGTGTACGTACTACGTATAAGACTGTACAACGAAAATTGCACGTTGCTGTCCGAGCACATTTCGCATCAACAAAAGGTACTTTAATCATTTATCCCTAATTCCTGGTTTACGGAAGTAAGGATAAACTAGTAATGGATCGAATGCTGATCTACATACTTTCTGATACACTTCCACCAGTCATTACATTACAGAATTTCGGGTAAAACTCAGTTTGCAGTTCACCTGTGTTTCCATCACGAGACCTCGTCCTGAAGTTCATTATTAAACTAGACATCGTAACTTTCAAAGGGTTCGAAATAAAGCTCGAATCACTTTACCCTGAAAGCTAACGCGCGTTATACCGTAAACGGGACACACCATAGCCGAAGCGTATCGCTATTCTTTCCTATTTTCTTTCAATTCCTAAACTCAAACAGCTCAAACAATTACCGTACAAACACAGTTGAATGTTTCTATAGATTTTAAATTTGCACAAAGCCAACACGCGATTCCATATAAGGAAAGTTACAGTCTTCTTTATTTCGCGTTGAACAAACTAGCTCCCACACCTTCTCCCGGTATATCGATTTCCGACGAGGTTGAAACTTGAACACTTCTATCTGATAACGCGATTCAATTAAACACTGTACAAATTAAGAAATTGCACGAGATGTGACGCTGTGTTTACAGAAGTGACGCGGCTCTTGGAGGAGGAGGACCGCGTGTAGTGCAGGCTGAACTCTTGTTACGATCGAAATCCGAGGGCGAACGTACCGTTGTTGCACATCGGTGACAAACGAGATGACTATTTCTTAAAGATATCATGGCGTCCTTCCACTGACAGAGTTCTGTTGCCTCGCTAACAAGAATCCACGGTGTTACTCGTTGAGAGCATCCCAGGTACACAGCGTGCGTACAACCTTGCTCTACTGACTGATCATGCATTCCAATCCTATTTTCAATTGGTAGATACGTACAAAAGTTTTCAAGCAGTCGTATATTTCAATCGCACGACGTAAGTGATCTATTATTAAGTATTTTATACGATATGTCAATGTCCATTGAATTAAAAATGATTTTAACAAACGAACGAGTAATCTGCTTGAAAATAATAGTAAATTTTGTATTTAGATTTTTTTCTTGTTTAGAAATAATACGTCCGGATTTCGATCTATACATTTTTATGTGACTTGTAAACCAATCTTTATAATACATACGAATAAATATTGAATTTGATTAACTACTTTTATAGTAAACAGTTTTAATACGTGTAGATCTCGTCAGGTAATTAAGTATTCCGTTTCATTTTGTACCATGATTGAAGTGCAACGAGAACAGTTTTATAACACAAAACATGTAATTATCTTTCGCAAGTTCTCATTTCGTTAAATGCGTCCGACTTTTATCAAGCATTCGCGTTTCTGTTACAGAGAAACGTGATCGCCTGCGAAATTAATTTCTTGCACTCCGTACCATAACGACCTCTCTTCGTAAAAATATTATGTCGTTATAATTTCTGTTGAACGTAATTTCCACGAATGAATTAAACGAACGTTTCACCATTAAACGTAACGTGGAGAGCTAAATATTGGACTAATTAAATAAAAATTAGCAAATGGAAGGATCTGGCATGTTTCACATAAAAACATTAAATCTGCGCTTATTGAAATATTGATTATCGCAACGTCTACCAATCTTGCTGTTTTAAATACGCACCGGAAACTGCCGCATATAATATAATCCAAATACCGGGCATAAAAATTAACTTATTATTGGAAAATGAAACTCGTCATATTTTTCGGTATTTGTTGCTTGTTCATCACGAAGTACAAAATAGACATGTTTAAAAGATGTTTAGGAATAACGAGAACTGGCGATGCGGATAATACACCATTGGATCATCCTATATGAAATATGTATGAGGTGACAAAGAGACAGTAAAGAATAACAGAATGAGTAAAATTGGACTTTTGAATTGGTTCTGTGAACTGAATGAAGATTTTTATTTTTATGCATGCTACGTAATTATTGTATCAAGTGAATAACTATAATTATCTTATGGGATGACTAATGAGAATGACAAGTACAACTTTATTGGCATGTTAGATTCATATTAGCTTCCCAGTTTATGTTATTATAAAACGCTTGCCCACAAGCACTTCTGTAAAAACCGGATTAATCGTAATCGAAATTTGCATCGATGCAGAATGCTGCGATGTCTTCTCGTTGCATAAGATAAAGATTTCATCTAACTGTGATAGTAATAAGTAGTAAAAATGTTCGTTATTATATTTAATGGCCAGATTGACGCAATAAGTACCTTTGAATTTTTCTTTTTCTAGCCGATGAGCTATACGTATAATGTCGTATTGCATAAGTGATGTAGATAACTCACGCGACTCGAAAATGTATTAAATGTCCTGACCCTAACAGAAATGTCCCATTCATGTACAATATACAATGGAGGTAATAAAAATCCCGATTTAACCATTATCGGTAATTGTGATTGTAAGAAACATATTGATGTAACATACATATGTATATACTGAGATTCCATTAAATAAATACATAAATCTTTGAATTTCGTATGTACCAAGTCGTTGCAATCGTAATAGAAACCCGTTCCAAATTCACGTTTAAATTAGTATTATTACTATGTACTAATACTTAGACTGCGGATTTTATCCATTTATAAAAACCTGTATGCACAGAAATGATAAAAAATTCATTCAATGTCTGAAGACGCACGAAATCTCAAAAGTGAAATACAAATTATGATTTTTAAAGTAGAAAAGTTAATTCCTGTTTAGATTTCGTTTTCCACATTGACATTACAAATGGTTTATTTTTGCATTCTATTGATACATGTTACATTTAACTTTATTCATACTGCATTACGCGTGAAAAATAATTTTCGTTTAACGTGTCCACATTTATGAATTCATAAAGTGTTAATCTAACTGTAATGGAAAATAATATATGATTATAGGAAGTCACTGACAATCTGAATTTATAATTTTATACATATTAACTACATTCAACTCATTCCGGTGAAATAGATTTACTAATTTGAATTAAATGTCATTTTAATTAAACAATGAGGTATTTGAATTTTTATCATTCGACGTAGATTTTCACGTCACCGCCTTCTTCAGAATAATTATTTACGATCGACGCTTAAACTTATATGATAATTAATATGAACCGGTTGTTAATTACTTCGTGCATCATATCTGAATAAAGATCAGATCTCTCTGTCTAATTGTGTTGGAACAATAGTCTGTTTCTCTTTTATGTTAAATATGAATAAATATTTATTGAGCAGGAAATTATTAATTAAATATTTTTGGTAAATTTCCTGTTAGTTCGTGACGTATCATTGTGCAAATAGATATGCCTAGTTGGAAACAGCGAAAAGCGTAGATATTTAAAAATCATGTGCGATGCACCCGAGCGATGGTCATCATTGATTGTCAGATCAAACGAATATTTGTCCAACCTTGCAAACGTTTATACATACATGTACACGGTTATCTGAAAAACGTGTCTTTTTCATTCAATTTGCATTCCCTCGATAATTCAGCGACAATCATCGAATATTTCGCATGCTCCCCACGACTACACGGAAGTCTAAAAAATGTCACAGGTATGCATACGTGCTCGTGTACTCGAATTCGCATAAAACTACACGTGCCTACACGACAACTATAAAATAAATGCAAATGGGAGGTGAAATAAATATAAAAATGCATTGACGTTATTGCACATTGTTTTAACTGTTATTTCGCGTGTGATTGGAACGCTGAAACATGAGCGTACTCTATACTTTGGTAAAAAAAATTAAATAGAATCACCTCAAGTTCTCAGTTTGTATCCTAGCATAAATTCATGATTTTTCTTACCTTACACTTTGTATTATAGTTCAATTTGTAAGCAGTTTCCCTCACGTTCAATGATTTATATTCAGTTAGTTCAGTTCAAGTATATAAGTAAACTTTGTTACAAAACTTTTGCAATTGCAATAAAAATAAACTGTCCAAAGTATTCTAGTTGCATGGATTCATGGCTCAATATAATAAATTTCAAAGGTAATTGTGTCAACTCGACTTCGATATCCAAGTTATTCCGTGCACATAAAAACGTTCCTGATACAAACACTGTGTTCTATAGTTCATTCCGTGCCGAATTAATCTGAGGCACCAGAATAATTTCTGTATCGCGCTATACGAATCTACAGAAAAATTTACCTCTTTGAAATGAAAACAAACCTGATTATTTTAATACGTAACTTCGTAACAATCTGATGGACTTCTGTGAAATAAAATATGTTTCCTTGACACGACATTTTGCAAATTAAATAAAAATATATAGAACTTTTAAATAATTTGATCGATGTATTCATCAAATTACGAGTTTCCTGAAGATTCCAATATACAAAATTGCCTAATCTGCGAATTTTCTGTTACCACCCTCAGAGTTTCAATGGACACTACGGAATGTAGTTGGAAAACATTTCGAAGAGGTTTGCTCAACATTTCGTAACTGGTTAAATTCGAAATTCTCGAAACTCAGCACTTCCTTATTTCCCAGAAGATTCAAAGTTATGTCTGCTTACGCGAATTGGATGGCCCCACAACACTAGTACTTCTCCTATATGCAACTTGGCTTCTGTATATTATAGTATCCACCTACTGTTACTTTCATATTGTTCTACTCTAATTTTACTTTTATATATTATATCTATTCTATACTTTATATCTTTACTTTGTATATGGGCAAAAATTGAGTAGTAAACACATTTGCAGGTGAATAGGAATACATTTATTTAATTTTTATATGTACATAAGAGCATTGAATTCAATAAATCTTAATTTAACTGTAAAAGAATTGTGGTCGTCGTTTTTTTGCATAATTTCCACAGTGCCTAATTAGGCAGAACATCTAGATTTTGGAATGCATTTTCCAGAATTATTTCTGATCAAGCCTTGGTTGCATTGGCAGCTGGGGACGCATTGCTGAAACATAATGATTCGGCTAATTCTTGGTTCCTTAATTTTGTGCATGAAATAAATGAGAATTTATTATAAAAGAAAGTAGTATCAGATTTAATCTTTTATGTGCACTTGTCGCGGAAAGGTGCACTAGAATTTAATACTAACCAGAGTACAGATAGGGTTTGGGTTTTTGCAAGTTGGTGGGCAGGCACTACCACATGAATTCCAGGTTTCATCCTGCGGGCAAGCACCTCCTTCCCCCATCGCAGCTATTTACGATCATTAAGTATTATTATAATGCTCCAAGTTATTTAATTAGGAAGGTTCCAATATTATTAATGAAATTACAAATTCCTAGTAAATTATGTCCAACAGCGTTCACAATTCATAAAGAAAATTCTCATTAACACAGATATTCGTTGGAACGAGGTAATTGAAAATATGTGTAAGTTATATGGATTTTTAGCGACTAACAAAGAAACCAGTTAATATATAATTTATTATTTTTGCACTACTTACAAACAGAGAAGATGGCCAAAATGGCGAACAATACAAGAAGAAGGCGAGACATATCGACGTTGGTGTATTTTCTGGTTCGTTGGAATCTGACGAAACCTCCAAGCATGATTGCTCTCTTTTATACTAGGGAATCAATTGTCTGTTTCCTCGCTTTGTTTGCCGACGGTTTAAAATGAGTTGATAATGAAAAATTACGAGAAGATCCAGAGAGCAAATTGTTTAGCAAATACATTATCGCTGATTAATGAAATTTTCCTTTAGTCGTTTAATAAACCAAATCTATTTAATTCAACTTCTTACTGTTCTTTCGAATTTACCTATGATTGTAATAAATAGAATTAGACATCTTAGCTACTCTGGTAATTTTTTGCACCTTTGCCGTCAATTAATATTAAACTGGAAAATTTGAATAATCATTCTACCGTGCTGCTACATCTTTTAAATCATTATTATTAATGATATATCGTATTGCATTTCTATTTCTTTAATAATTGGTAAACTCGCGAAATATCGATTAAATTGAAATATTAAAATGATTAAAAGAGGGAAACATGTTTTGCATCTGACTGTTGATTTTATCTGATTACTGTACTTTAGTGATTAATTTGTTTACAAGACGATAAGTTCAGAAGGAAACCCTCCAGATGGTACATCTCATTCTGTTTGCACGGCCTTACGCATTCGTGCATAATACAATGATACTGTATCAACTCAAAATTACATCAAATCAAATCTGCATCAATTGCGCTACTCCATTATAAAATAGCATTGCATTATATCTTAGCACAGATATTAATCGTTAGATGTTAATCGAATAAGAGTAAGGGATAATGGAAATGCGAAGCACCTATATCAGATTGACTGAAGCTAAAAACGAAAATCGATAGGCATCGTGTAGGAGAAAAACGACTTCGTAAATCAATTAAGCATGCGCGCACTAATCTGAAAAGCTTATTGCCAACGAATCAATTAATCAACGAGTAGAGGAGAAACTCGCACTGCACGCCTAATAATATTCGCCATTACTTTTATATCTCCTGTATCTGTTGCAATTAAAAATGGCATAATCGTATCTGGAACGACGATATGAGAGAACTGGAAATTCTGAAACAAACGTATAAGAAAGTCCTTTGGTAAAAATATATTTATTTCGCAATCTGCGATATTCTATCGTTCAGAGATATTTCTCCCCTTGCGAGGTCGCATTTTATTGTTGAGCGAGCCACACGTTTATACAAACATGCATGGCTTTCCAGAAGAGTGGAATTTAATCTATGCCAACGGCGGGTACTACATAGTACACACCTACAAAGAAAAGTAAACGAAACGAGCGTGCATTCTTTTGAGATGCATTTCTTTTTTCGTCTGTTTAAAAACAAACACAGTACCGTTAACTTCCTACCGTTGCTCGTTATACATATAAATTGTTAAACATCTTGTTCCTTGTGACAAAGTGAACAAATGTTGAATTATTTTAGAAAACTCGTTGCAGTTATAACAACAACGAAATGTAATAATTGACATTAAAAACAGTTTGAAACTCTTCGGATCTAAAGTCTGCTACTTAAATTCTAGAGGAAATGGTTAAAAATCTGTATTATTTATTTCATGTACAATTGATATTTTAACTTATATAATAATGTTTTTCATGAAATCCTCTTGATGCGATTTTGTACACGTCCAAAGCGATATATTAGCGTGAGAGGATTAACAACTTGTAGCTTAGCGCTATCTTCTTTCATCCCAGTGCGCTCCATGTAGCATTCCATGTCTTCAGCATAACTTGAGGAGACATCATCCGCGAAATAGATTAAACGGGGAAGTATCACCTTATGCAATCAATTTCAGGTTGGATGAATAACATTCATAGCTTTGAGGGATCTACTACATATTTTACCAGATCAGGATTATAATTTATCAAACTATACATATACATATGTATAGCTCGAAATACTAGACTCCATTTGTAATTTGTGTTATAGCGTTCTAAATGAAAAATATAGAAAAGTGTATGACATTTTAGTATGGAAAAAACTAAAACTTTTAACGAATAAACTGAAATAATGAAAATGAAAAATTGTCCTCGATATTGGTTTTTCGGAAGTTCCATTTTTCAGTTAACTTTCTGCCGTACTTGCTTCCCGTTTCAAAGTCCATTAATCAAAATTATGTTGCATCACGTTTATAAAATATTTTCAAAAGTTCACCGATTTTTGTCCGCATACACGCGACGTAATTTCAATTTACTTCTATTGTACTCTTTTTTACGCTTATTAGAAGAAATTTTCCTATTTTGTACATAAATACTCTTTGAACAGAGTTAATATGGTTTAATATTGTAAGGAACAGAGAGCTGTAGAAGTATAATGATTTTTTAGATTTTCGTTTATTATATTATTTGTTACATTTTTGGAATAACATCTACGTTGCAAAAAATGAGAATTCAACTGGAGAACGGTCGGAATATTCGGATTTGTGAATCCCTGGGGCAGGCGTCATGACTTTATTGCCTGCAATAAAATCCTTCTGAATTATATATTGCTCGTAAATATCGATCCACTCTTTCCAGTCATTCTCTATAAAGATTTGATTTACTCTTTCTATTACAATTAATGATATCGAAGGAATGCTTATAAAAATATTGTTATTCATTGGAATGTAAGAATACAGGAATTCTACGAATTCTACTTAACTTTACAGCCTCTTACTTTCTTAAATCATTGTTTTAATTATATTAATCAAATTGTTTATTGCAAAAACTTTTTCTTTGTCCTAGCGAGACATATTTCAGACAAAAGTTGTAGCTCTAGTTCCCAGATACAAGAAAGATGCAATTTTCTTCCAATTCAAATAATGTAGGAATAAAAATTGTGAGGCATTCTTGAAATTGTCTGCTCGCTTCTATCGAGGATTACGATCTCGTAAAAATGTTATATTTGATTCTATTGCGTCCGGATTTTGACGAAACACATCTCAGCATTTTTATTTTACGATCTTTGACTAAATATTGTATAGTAGCATGAGAGAGAAAATTTTCTCTCTGGTAGCATTATCTTCCCGATGTACTTACCACTTGCTACTTGCCTAACATCAGGCGCCGCTCGGCACGACGCGCCGCGTAGCGTAGCCGTAGCCAGTTGACGAAATTCCGAGCTTGTGAACATACAGCTCGACCGATACTGATACCCTCCATAGCATGGTTGCACACAACGTGTTTAAGACAAATCAAGTACTGAATGTATAATTACAATGTCAAACAAGAAGAAAGTAAAACCATTTTATCCGAAAAAAAAGAAAATACCTGAAACAAAAATAATATCGGAACTACAGTCCAAGTATGATGCGGTAAGCTTTAATCGTCTGATCTCAATTGAAAAGAAATGCATGTTGATGAAAGTTGTATGATTGCAGATTGATGAAACGAAAATCACAAAATTTGCAGACCTTCCTCTGTCGTCAAAAACTTTGAAAGGTCTGGCAGAAAATGATTATGTTGAAATGACAGATATCCAAAGGCAAAGTATTGGATTAGCATTAAGAGGCAATGACATTTTAGGAGCAGCAAAAACTGGCAGTGGGAAGACCCTAGCATTTCTTATTCCAGTAAAGAAATTAATTGAATTTGTTGTGTGTGACATTTTTATCATATTAATTATAGATAATATAGATTTTTAATCGTTTAAGGTTTTAGAGATATTATATTGCAAACAATGGACAAGATTAGATGGACTTGGCGCATTAATTATTACGCCAACCAGGGAACTTGCTTATCAAATATATGAAACTCTACGTAAAGTCGGCAAGCATCATGATACTTCTGCTGGTCTTATTATTGGTGGAAAGGATTTAAAATTTGAGAGAAAACGAGTGAATCAGTGTAACGTTATTATATGTACTCCTGGACGTTTGTTACAACACATGGATGAAAATCCATTATTTGATTGTGTAAATATGCAGGTAAGTGCTGCAACATGCAGATAAGTAATTTTAATAATTAAAATATATTTTTTCTTGAAATCGTAGATATTAGTACTGGACGAAGCTGACAGATGTTTAGACATGGGTTTCGAGCAAACAATGAATTCTATTATTGAGAATCTACCATCGGAACGACAGACTCTTTTATTTTCTGCAACGCAGACGAAGTTTGTATAGTTCTCATAAAATACATACAATATTTATTTCATGTAGTTACATTATATTCATTTCTTCTTACGACAGATCTATAAGAGATTTAGCCAGATTAAGTTTGAAAGATCCCGTGTACGTATCTGTACATGAACACGCCACACATACTACACCTGAGGCACTTCAGCAAAGTTACATTGTTTGCGCCTTAGAAGATAAAATGTCTATGTTATGGTCATTTATACGAAATCACTTAAAGCAAAAGATTATTGTATTTCTTTCAAGTTGTAAACAGGTATACATCTTCTTAGTATTATTACTTTTTCAAATTATTAAACAATGAGAACGATGGTAAATATTAATTATTTGATAGGTCAAATATGTGTATGAGGTATTTTGTCGTTTACGACCTGGCGTGAGCTTATATGCACTTTATGGTACTTTGCATCAACTTAGAAGAATGGAGATTTATGAGACGTTTTGCAAGAAACAATGTGCAGTTTTATTTGCCACGGATATTGCTGCTCGTGGATTAGGTAAGGATTCCTATATAGAAATATTAAAAGGATTCAAAGAAACTTTATTAGGAACCAATAAAATAAATTGTAGATTTTCCTGCTGTAAACTGGGTTGTACAAATGGACTGCCCCGAAGATGTAAACGCGTATATACACCGGGCGGGTAGAACAGCCAGATTTCAACGAGGCGGTGAATCTTTATTAGTCTTACTACCTTCTGAAGAGAAAATGATTGAGAAATTGCAGGAACGAAAAGTTCCAATATCCATGATACAGTAAGTTAAAATTACTTTCTTAATGTAATTGGTTCCAAAGGATTGTTCAGAAATATTGATTTTTAATTTAGAATTAATCCAAAGAAATTGCTATCTCCACAACGTAAAATGGAAGCACTATTGGCAAGAGATGTTTCATTAAAGGAGAGTGCACAAAGAGCATTTATAGCATACATTAAATCTGTGTTTTTAATGAGAGACAAAGAAGTTTTCAATGTTCGTGCATTAAATACTGATGCATTTTCAAGGTGATCATGAATATTTCTAACAAGTATTAAAAATTAATAATCGTAATTATGATTTTATAGTTAGTTAATTTGATTCTAGATCTTTAGGCTTAGCTATACCCCCAAGGATTCGATTCCTTCAAAGAATAGATCAAAAACAACGGCAATCAAGTAATAAAAATTTAGAAAAAAGGCAGATTGTTACAAACACTGAATCAAAGAATGATGAAAATGAACAAAGAAATATTATTAATTATAATCACAGTAGCGATGAGGAAAACGAAGAAGAAATTGCATCTCAAACAGCAATTTCGAATGATTTTGTAGCTGGTACGTCATTGAAAATGTTGACAATTGAACTGTTATAAATAATAACTATGTCACATTCTTTGTTTTGTACAGATGATAGTGATGATGATGATATATTAACTGTAAAAAGAAAAAACATAAATTTGGATGATATATCAGTTACTGTTAATGACAAGGAGAACGAAAGTGTAAATAAGAAGAAAGTAGTTACAAAAACCGCAGTAGCTAAAAAGATCCTCCGAAAAAAGATAGTACCAAACAAAAAAATTACTTTTAATGAGGAGGGTGAGGTATGATACACTTTTTCTATACGATTACAATTACAATGATTCCTCGAGCCATATTCATAAAATATTCTATTTATTAGGAATTATTGAATCCTGCCAAAGTTAAAGTCTCGAAATTAGCCAAAGAATACGAGAATGAAGAGAGTTCTGGAATTAATATAGAAATAGCTAAACAGGTGTTACGTGAAGAAGATAAGTTTGATAAGCAACGCTTTAAAGAAAAAGTAAAGGAAAAACATAGAGAAGAGAAACGAAAATTAAAAGCTATTGACAAGAAGAAGGCTATTGATGAAGACGATCAAGATGAAATTGAGGATACTGCAGATGAATATAATAGCGATAGCGAATCCAGTGGACCAGATTTATCTTGGTTACCAGATCCAGATAAAATTTACGGTGAACGACAAGAAAATGATGAAACATCGAACGCTTCCGATATATCAAAAAGTGCAGACGAAAGCGAAGAAGTCGGCGAAATACATAGGTACCTTAAAACTATACAATAACTAAACATGTTATAAAAAAAAATATATATCGCTTTATTTTTAGCATCATCTTTGGTAATGATAATTTCTTTTTACAGACCACCTAAACGAAAACTGATAACGCAAAAGGAATACAAAAAGAAGAAAAAGCAAAAAACATTTTCCGTGATAGATGATACAAATCTAAAAGCAGACGAGGAACTAGCATTGCAACTTTTACAACATTAGATTCTTACCTGTAATACAGAATTTTAATGATCTTTGTATATTCTATTGTACAACGTTTTTTTTTATAACAATGTTACTGCCTAAGTAATTATTGCGTATACCATCGATCTATCAAATAAATCACAATGTTTTACATGAAGTAAAATAAATTATATCGACTAGTATACAGTATATATCACTACAAGCCAATATTTGTTTAATAAACTGTCATGATCGAAGTTAAACAGATGTATAGATATGACATAATCACAAGGAAATATTTTTGACGAGATGCATGCGAAGAATAATGTATATCCCAAACAGCTCATATAGATAATTATAATACGTAATTTCTAATTGTACTAGTACTTATAATATATATTTTACAATGTTTCAATCTTTATTATTTTACATAAAATATTAATATAATACAAGTATCAAATTTGTCATTTTAAAGTTAGAAACTGGTTTGAACAGATTGCGATTTACACAATATTATAGAACTGCTTTAATGGGACATGCAATTACTGCTCTCAGATATAGTGATTATAATATTTTTACTAATCAACTAAATATTTGTACTAAAAAGCAAGACTGTATCAATAAAATATATCTTATCAGTCTTAAACAGATGCTGTTTTGATGTGTTTCATTATAGTATCAACAACTTCTCTACTAGTAGCTTGTCCACCAAGGTCCCGAGTATGAACACCTTGATTTATAGTTTTATTAATGGCATTCTGAATTAAAGTAGCATGAGTCTTGTGTCCAAGATGACGTAACATATCGACGGCAGCATTTAACATCGCAATAGGATTAGCAATATTCTTTCCAGCAATGGCTGTACCAGTGTTACGAGTACCAGGCTCGAACACTGTATAATGATCACCATAATTTTTACCTGCTAGCAAGCCAGCACCACCTAACAAACCGCATACTACATTCGATACAATTGCTCCATATAAATTGGTCGTTAATACAATATCAAATTGATGTGGATTGGAGACCAATTGCATGCACGTATTATCAATGATCATATTATTATGAGTAATGTCTGGATAATCTTTCGCAACATTTTTCGACGTTTCTAAGAACAATCCATCAGATAGCTTCATAATATTTGCTTTGTGAACTGTGGTAACCTTCTTCCTTCCATTTCGTCTAGCATATTCAAATGCGTATCTAGCAACACGTTCGGAATTTGCACTTGTGATCACTTTCATGCTTTCTACAACGCCTTTCACACTTTCATGCTCCAGCATAGCATATTCTCCTTCAGTGTTTTGTCTGACAATGACGATATCAATATTTTTATGACGCGAATTCACTCCTGAATATGATACGCAGTGCAAGACGTTTACATAAAGATCCAACTGATTTCGGAGAGCAACGTTTCGAGAAAGTACCTCAGCCTCTGTGCTACGAGTTTCGATGTTTCCCTTTAATGCTACACCATTTCTACGAATCGATGTGATAGCATAATGCAAGTCATCATTGTCATCTGCGTTTGGGTCGATTTCAATATCCTCAAAATCTACTGGTACACCTGCATAACTGAAAACCTATAAATATATTAAAAAAAATTATAT